ACATCATATTTACATCAAATTTACAACCGCTTTATGGCGCGCGATTTTTTCCAGTAATAAGGATTGCTCCCATCAATCATACTTACAAAGTCGTTGATTTTAGCCAGATATTCAGCAGCAAACTTGACTTCGTTTTCCTCTAAACTGGTAGCAATGTTGCCCAAGTCGATGATAGCTTGTGATCCGATCTGTTTATTCTTGCTGCAAGAATTGTACACGCTTGCAGTGTTAATTTTCTCAACAGCTAAGGAAAAGATTGTAAATATTTTATATTTAATTGAAGTGCTGATAAACAAAGGAGAATTACTAAGTCGTCGAAGGGCATGATAATTGAACCAGTCACACATACTATCTTAGATACCATTATACACCTAATTGAAAAAACGTAGTCATGTTCGAAAAGGTCACATCATAGAAGCTAAGACCGAAAGGGATTTTAAGTACCACTAAATTGGGATTACATTTGCATATACGGTGTACACTAAGCAAGTAGAGCTAGTAAGATTAACAGCATGATAGTCTTTTATGCTGGAGAGCTGTTTGTTATGAAATTAGGCAAATTGTTTGTCTTCMCAAGTACCCTTTCGGTCTTAGCTTCTATGATTTGACCTTTTTGGACCCGACAACGTTTCTTCAATTAGGTGTATTACCTTCTCTAACACTTTCTAGTGTGGAATTTGTTTTTGTGGCATATTCTTCAGCCTCTTCGACTCCCACCACCATGGTGTCGTATTTCAACTTGGATGAACGTCTCAGGTCTTTGCTTAGTGTTAGTTCACTATACCTTCTCGATATTCGTGAAAATTGTTGATGATACAATCTGTAGGTGGCTTCCCAATCGGTGTTGTTTACTGCTGCATAGAACTACGTCAAACAAACAAATAAAAAACAATTTAGATTCCTTATATGTGTCGTCCCAAAAGGGATTGTAAAACAGAAGATATTTGCTCGTTTGTACACCAGAATCCATTTCTTTGTTCCCCAGATGGGGCTGTATTCCCATGTACTATAATGGACCTACATCTACCTCTGTAATCGAAATGGTACCTAGTTGTAATTGCCAATGGATGCGTTAGCAAATATTTTTGAAATAATATGTGACGTCCCAGAAGGAATGTAAAAAAAATATATTTGCTCTCATTTGTGGAGTAAATCTATTGCTTTGTCCCTTAGATGTATTCCCATGTACTATGAGGGACCTACATGCCTCTGAAATCGAAATAGTATCTAGTTGTAACTGCCTTGGGATGCATTGGCAAATATTTTTGAATTTATATACAGAACCTGAAACTCACAGTATTGCATTACTCACCTGACTGGCGATGTTGGTGAATAAAATCTGCCTGAGAACACTTTTCATTACTTTAAACATCCCTTCTGGCATACGGAATATCATTACTTGAGCCACTAGTGTTTCATCCCACAAATGTTCCTTCATTAAGTTGCCATTCCATTTGATATCACCGTTATTTCCGCTCCTAATATCTTGCTTTGGATAAAATGAAAACAAGTATTATGAAGTATGACACAATAATTAAAAGCATGTATCTTTGACACTAGCAGTTGCTGTTGTTGTTGCTGTTATTGTTGTTGTATTCATCATCTTCACCGAAATATCTGAATTACCATCATTTTTTAACGTAAAGATAGTCAAAAATACMGGTTTTGTAATTATTATGAATCCTTCTAGCTGCAAAATTTGATATATGAAGTATGATCATTTCAGGTAAATGGCATTGATGAAAGAAATAGCTCTATACGTTGTTTATCAACACAAAGAGATAAAATTATAACATATATATGGCAAAGATATAAAATTCAGTTGGCTGTGTTTTCTCACATGTTGGAATAAGAACTATTTACCCCAATTCTAGCAGATTTCTGCATCAAAGAATCCTTCAGATATATGTCGAATGCATATAACGTTTTTTCATGAAGTCTGAATAGTTTTTGCATCTTTTTCCAYGTATCCTCGAATACCCTTCCAACCTCAACTTGCTTTATTCTGTTGTCGTTTGCTGGAAATAGAGATTGGCATTCTGTTCATTCTTCAATAACATAAATATGTCACAAGCTACGATAGCGTTTAGCTAAGTTGTTATTGTAACTGTTGCTTCTGATGTTGTTGTTGCTGTTGTTGCTGCTGTTGTTACTGCCTCTGTTGTTGCTGCTGCTGTTGTTGTTGTTGCTTATGCGAAAATATCAAATTTCAAATCACAACTGTTTTTCTCTGAGCCATTCAAGATGGCGACGGTATTATTCTATTGAAGAAAACTCCACAAAACATAGCACAGTACAGATGGTTGCATCCGGATAATATCTCTATATTATCATCATCATCATCATCATCATCATCATCATCATCATCATCATCATCATTATTATTATTACTATTATTATTATTTCTACTCCAGAGAAAAAGAGTAATTCATTCAATTCATTGCTCTCTTTGATTATTTATTGATATTAGTTTATAGTTATAAGTTCGTCTATGGAATCCCTTACCTTCCTTTACGTCTTCTTCGGCTTGTATTGCAAAACTAACAATGGATTGATGTTTTTCATTGTATTTATCTTCAAACCTTCAAAAAGTACAATGTAAACAAATCAGCTCACTGCAACGCTGGAAGAAATCGCGAAAAAATCGCGCTGTAAATTTGATGTAAAAAGGATGCAAATGATGTAAGTAATGCTTACATGATTTTGGACACTTACATAATATTTACATCAAATTTACACACTTTTTACATACATTGTAAATTTGATTTACATCACATTTACACACTTTTTATGATGTAAATTTAATGAAAATATTATGTAAATTAAAATCCAAATTTGCACGATATTTCCATGATTTTGGACACTAGGGATGGGATATTTACAACCTTTATAATTATTATAGATTGAATTTACATCATATTTCCATTAAATTTATAACCTTCAAGGAGCGCGATTTTTTCCAGTGCAAGTGTGAAAATTGATGTATTTTTATTAACCTACCCACGGTCGCATTTTTTAATGGCTGCTATCGAATTTTCTGAAATGTTGTTCTTGAACAAGCCATAAATGGTATCATGCAGGGCTACATTATCAAACATTCCTACAGGGAAAGAAAGAATAGACGTGTATGAAAAGTAGTGTAGTTTGCATTATATAGCCAGCCCTTTATTTATTTATTTATTTATTTATTTATTAAGTCGATAATATATCCTTATTGACGTTTAGTTCCGAATGACTTTGCATTACTTACTTGAAATTTCCTCAAAAATTGTCTCAGCTGTCAAAAAGAAAACATAAAATATAGATAATATGATAACAAAATAATAATAATAACAACAATTACAATTATGATAATCATATAATCATAATCATAATCATGAATATACCAATTATCTACCATGATTATAATAATATAATAACAATGTAAGCAATACACTGACAATAATAATGTTTTAGTCGCCTTAGTCATTAAAATTTTATAGACCTAGCCAAGTACCTTGTCAGTACATACGATCGTAATTTTAAGAGCTTTTCACTAGTTTCGTGTCTTATAACATTTCTGTTTTTGTCTTTTTTTCTCATCTGTCTTGTTTAAAATAAAATATCAAAAGAAAAAAAACATCTCTGTTATTTTTCTAGACATAACGACGTCATTTATTAACTAATACGATAATATTAATTAGTGGTAAAGTTACTTTTACCTTGTTTGTTGGTCACGCAGCCTATGTATGAAGAAAAGTAAGGTTATTTCATTAGATTCAATAGTAATATGATAGACAAATGATTCCTGAAGAAAATACTTACCTACAACTGAGGCTTTCGCATCTAAAACAGAACAAGAAATMAGAGACAAATTAATAATGAATTATTAGTTGAAAAAGATTAGTTGAGAAAAGTGCAAAGAGACGCGCACCCACTTTTCCTATTCTTCTTTTATTAGTATTTTATTTTATTATTAGTTGTGTAAATTCAGATAAGAATATCCTAAAATTCAAACTTACCAATCTCATGAAGGTAGAGCTGGCTTAGAAAAGCTAGGACGATCAATATCATTTTAACCTGAAATTCAAAGTACAATCACTTTCATTGTATTCTGATTTCCAGTTGATGCTTTATAAACAAAGATCTTTGGTCTAACAGGATTTGAATTGGCGGTGAAATACACGRAAAAGCTATAAACAAGTAGATCTACAAAACATGAACCATATAAGCTGAATTATAAGGTTTTTTTTAGAAATAACTCGCGCTCTCATTGGCTAATGACCATGTTTAGGTAAATGAACTTAACAGAGACAAGGTTTGCCGCTTGCACTTTCAAAAAAGAAGGACGGTTTCCAAAGCAATATAAAATGGCCGCTTGTGTCTACGTCTACTGATAAAATCCCGACGGGAAACAAGAGAAACACGTATAGCGACAAGTACATACACGAGTGGGTCTGTTTCTCTTTATTCTCGTGAAGAAAAAGTGACAGAGACACGCGAAGTCGTTTTATATTTCCTAAATATGACAATGTAACATAACACATGTATATGCAGCAAAKAAATAAATCAACCATTTTCCGAAAAGAAATACCGTGTGTTCAAAGATAGCTCCGCCTTGCTTGAATATGTGTGTTTTGATTAAGAATTTTCAGCTAATTTAATTTAGCGATCAATTACCTGCTGCAACGCTTGTGTGACCTGCAACGATTACTTTTAATTTGTATGGAGTGACATGAAGTTGATTAAAAAATTACTTGCATTTCTAGAAAATATATGGGTATTTTCATTTGAAAAGATCTAGAGGAAAAGGAACTAAACGTAAGATTTGAGATAGGATTTTTAAAAAGAGAACAACAGCCTTGATCAGTTTCGACATAGTCGGCGATCAATCGCCATCATCAGATATTTTTAATGGTACATCTATAGATAATAAATGGAGGAATGTGATGGTAAAGACTAGGAAGAGGTGGGAAGAACAACGAAGTGGAAAAAAGGAAGGAAGGGAGAGATWAAACAAAAACTGAAGAAAGATGACTGMCTCGAAAATGAAAACTGGAAGCCATGGAGAGTAATTAGGCCTGGGAACAAGAATCCTAATGGTCAAAAAAAGCAACGGGATTCCTGTGTACCACCCGYTYTTTGTCAAACACAATGGAGCGCTAACTTTTATATATTTAAACTTTTCACAATTCAAAGACAAAAGATATCATTTTTTAAAGGAAA